ATTTATATTTATATTTATATTGAATATTTGATTATATATTGAATATTTATTATTATTATTAATGTTTTTCATGCTTCAGTTCATATCCTCAGATCATGATATAAAATTATACATTTTGTATGGATGGATAAAGATTTTTTATGTAATATACATAATTGGCTCCACCATAACACTAAAACTGCAAGTAATTATCGGCTAATTATTTAAGGTAAATGTCTAATATGTTTAAATAATTTTCCTTCGATAACACAGACTATTAGATAAATTTGATACAAAGTCAGAGTCCGAATTTAACATATGTACATTATATTTATTATTATTAATGCTTTATATGCTTCGGTTCATATCCACAGATGATATGAAATTATACATTTTGTATGGATGAATAAATATTCTTTAAAGATTTTTCCTATAATATACATAATTGGCTATATTGGATTTATGGATGATCAAAATAATATAATTTTTAAGACAATATGCTGGGTGTAAATCTATTTAAAGACCATTTCATTTAAGACGGCAGGACCATTTTTTTTCAATCGAGTAGGAGATTCCTTACTTAATCCTTTTAAATATTTATTTAAGTTACCTGGTAATTTTTCGTATTTTTTTGCTTTCTTGCATTACTATATTAATAATAAATTATATTATATGCACTTATGATGGTGATGTTTATATTATTGTACTTGTACTATTATTTGTGATTAATCAAGATACACTACAACAAGAGTAATGAATGTAAATGAACAAATTATAAATAAATATATATATATATATATATATATATATATATATATACAGATATATAAGAGAAAGTATACTAACTTTTGGAACTAGAAATTGAGACGAATTGCCTGGCTTTAGAAAGTATCCCGGCAGACATAATGATTAATAAATCTATATAACACTGTATAACAATTAATTAAATGATTAACAACAAAAAAATTGAAGTTCTCAGAGCAGACTAAAGTCTAAACTCTTAAACGATGGTTATTTTTAGCCATAAACAGAAAATGAACTTTGACTTGTGCAAGCAGGTTATATTGTATTTACAAATGGCGTTCGTGTGACGGCTGGTCGAAAGTTTACTCAATTTATTATACCTTTTTTTTATACAATTTATTATTTTTGTTGTATATTTTTTTATAAATATTATTTATTATACTGATTATATATTTATTACATTTTACACTGACTATATATATTATGTAATATTTTATATACAAATTATTTTTTATATAACCAATTAGTTTAATAAATAATACAACTATTAAGTGAATCAAGAATGTTGTTAAATATTTTATTAGCTATACAATATATCCAAAATTTTACAATATTAAGATTTCTTACTGCGTTAATTTTTTTTTATATCTACTTTTTTAACTTTATTTATCGAAAATGAAAATTTTTGCATATCTTCACGTTTTGAAGGTTTCTGAACATTTTGGCATACCTTAGAAAAAATGGGTGTAATAGTGTATTTTGTATGTCCGCAATTTTTCGTCCACGTTTCGGGCGCACGGATCAACCGATTTAAATAAATGATGCAAAAAAACATTCAATTTCTATTGATAGGGAGATGTGCTAATTAGTTTTTGGCAAAGACAGGTCTAGCCGTTTCGGTGGTACGGAGCAAAGAGTGCAGAAAATATAAATCAAGTTTTTGAGAGAACGAAGCGTCCGATTTGAATGATCCAAAAAACATTCAATTTGTAATGATGGAAAGAAGTGGTGATTAGATTTTTGCAAAAGCAGGTCAAGCCGTTTTGGAGTTACAGAGCTGAATATGCAAAAAATAGCAGTTTTTGAGAGAACTATGTATCCGACTTGAATGATTCAAAAACTTTATGCTTGTGTTGACGAAACAATTGCTTTTCGAGATAAATATTTTTTAAGTGTTTTTTTGATTTTTCAAAAATATTTTTTTTAATTAAATTTTATTCTCGAATACCTGATTATGGTACGGAAAGTTCCAGCAATTTGCCTTACGGCATGATGCCATACGCACCACTAGTTCTTATTTTGAATTAAACCACTTTTTGTAGGCCTATATATTTTAGGATGTTCCTTTGGAGTGTAAACTTTAGACGAAAAACTTAACTTTTACGCTTCGTTAAAAACGTCAAAAATTCAACAATTATTAACAAAGAAAGGGCTCGACCGAACTTTAACAAAATCACAGTTTTTGAATTTACAAAATCTGTTCAAGATTTTTGCCAATAATTATTAAAGATTAAAGTATCTCATTTGCATTTTCAACATCGGTACAGAAGAGTTTGATGAAACTTTGATAAATGGTCAAATTTTGGTATACATGCACATACACACATACATAATGCATAAATACCTTTTGTAATTGTTGTATCAAACAATTTAGAATGTCGAGAAAATATAAAATTAGTGAATTGGCCATAAAATACCAAAGAATTTGAGCAAATTGTGCATAAATTACCAATTAGAAAATTATTTAGCAAAAAAGTTAACTATAGTTACAAATAATAATTACAAATGTATAAAGTTTTACAAATAAAAATTACAAATGAATAGTAATAATAAATATTATATAATTTTCAAGATTTTTTGTATTATTAACAAATTATGTTATTATACATAACATAACTTTTATGTTATGTATAACTTTTATATCCATTTCATCATCACAAAATCATTATAATTATATTGATTTGGTGATGAAATGGATATAATTATAATTATGATTTTGTGATGATGAAATAGATATAAAAATGTATACATAACATAAAAGTATGCAAGAAAAATTCTGCAAAATCATATAATGAATACATTATTCATCTGTAGTTATTTGTAAAACTCTGGAGCAAAAGAAAAAAATCAATATGATAATCCAAAATATGAGTAAAATTCAACTAATAAATAATCATATATTAAATATATTATTTATTTGTAATTATTATTTGTAAATCTTTGTAGCAAAAGAAAAAAATCAATATAACTCAAAATATATTTAAGTAAAATTTGAGACTAAGAATAAGTACTCCATCAGCTCTCCTTCTATCTCTTCGACCTGTCATTTGGGATAACCTAAAATATTGTTGACAGTACATAAATTTTTCTATTATGTGATAACATGTGCATTTGAAGACGAAAATTAAATATTAATAAATTAACACATGTACATAGAATGGTCTGTTTGAATAAATAAATATTTTTACTTATGCTGTTATAAAAAATATATAAATTTAAAAAATGTTACGAATATTATCGAGACGATTGCTTGTGCACCATCGTCAACTTAGTGCTCCAATTTTAAGTAACAATATTATTTCAAAAAATCTCCAATATATCCAATCAGCAAGACATTATGCAAAAGGCAAAGATATAAAAAAAGATAAGTCAAAGAAAAAACAAAAGGTTGCAATAAACGAAGAACAATTATCTGAAGTCTTAGATGTAGATAATTTAAAAAAACAAATGACTAAATGTGTTGACCATTTGAAAGATGAATTCGTAAAGAATTTGTCACTGAGATCAACAACCGGAGCTATCGATGCACTGCCAGTCAAATTTGAAGGCAAGGAGTACGAGCTTCAAGAACTGGCTCAAATTGTCCGAAAGAACCCAAAGACCGTGGTTGTAAATATGAATTCGTTTCCTCAGGTCATACCTGAGGTTCTTAAAGCCTTGAGTAAATCTGGGATGAATTTGAATCCTCAACAGGATGGTACTACTTTGTTTATACCAGTACCAAAGTAAGAATTGTAATATACATGCAAATATAATAATTTGTTTTAATATCTATTTTACTTTTTAGGGTGACCAAAGAGCACCGTGAGCTGCTGTCCAAGAATGCAAAGACATTATTTATAAAATGTCGTGATAGTATCAAAGATAATCAAAACAATGCAATAAAGAAAGTTAAAAAGCAGACTGGATTATCTGAAGACTTAGTACACGATGTACAATTGCAAATAACCTCAATTGCAGATTCGTATCTAGAAGAGGCTCAAAAACTACTTGATAGTAAACAACAAGAACTGATTGGTGAAAAATAATCATTCACATTTTATTATGTATTTAAATACATTTAGTAAGAACAAAATAATGAATGCATATATGAATTGTGGAAAAATAATATAAATTCTATGAAAACCATAAGTTAATTTCTTCTTAAATTTAGTCATACTCTAAAAATACAAAATATCATTTAAAATGCCTATCATCACTAGACATTTGTCATCAGCACACTAATAGTCTCCTCGCCCTTTACCAGGGCCTGATCCTAAGAATAATTCTATGTACCTATTATCCATATTCTGCCTATCTCTAGTCATAGCCTAAAAAACATTCACAACATTATAAAAATACAAATACACATAATTTTATGTAGTAAATATAATTACTACATAAAATCCATCTCTACTTACATCTAATGCATCATCATGACACTCAAATTCCACATCAGCAGTGCCGGTGGCACGACCATTAGGTTCAAAATTAATTCTAACGTCAATAGGAACAATTGGCCTGAAGAAATCAATTATATCACAAGTCCTGGCTTTGAACGGTAATCCTCTCATGTGAATAAAGTTCTCCCGTGATCTGAAATCACCAGAGCCATTGTTGAATGATCCTCTACTGTTCCCTCTACCATTGTCCATCCAATCATCATTTCCACGGCCCATGTACCTGCTGTTGTTTTGGGAACTTCTCATACCTAAAAATAATTGATATAATCAGTTTTAAATCAAGATTTGGATATCACAACCAATATTTGCTGATTAGACCGTCCAATAATTGTATAATAATAAATAATTAGTAAATAAATGAAGAAACTAATAAGACTACAAACCCATGCCCATATTATCACCTCCCCTCATTCTTCCCATATTTGATTCGTTCATAAACCTATCAGCCGGTGGATAGTCATTAAACCTACCCATGTTTCCACCACCCAGATTTCCAGAGTTCAACCTGGGCATTAACGGGCCTACGCCACTTCCCATGTTGCTCATTCTCATGTTGTTGCTACCCCAATCGCCCATACCTAAAAAATTGAATAATGATTTTAAAATAAAATAAAACTAGTGGGGTGGGTGGCATCGTGCCTTAAGGCAAATTGCTGGAACTTCCCGTACCGTAACGAAATGTTCGAGGAATATTGAATGTTTTCAAATAGATTATTGTAAATATTGTAACATTGTCTAATATTTATAAGAATTATATAAACTGAATTGCAGAGTTGAAATTATTTGTTTAAAGTATATTAAAACTATAGTCAGAATTAAAAATAAAATCTGAATTATTTTCGATATACAAAAAATTAAAAAAAAAAAAAAAAAAAACTGAACTAAATTTTTTTTTCCAAAATCAATTATTTTAAGACAAGCAGAAAGTTCTTTGAATCAATTGAATCGGACGCTTAGTTCTCTCAAAAACTGCCATTTTTTGTACATTTAGCTCTATCTCCGAAATGCCTGGGCCTGCCTTTGCGAAAAACTAATAACCCCTTCTCCCAATCATTACTAATTGAATGTTTTTTAGATCATTCAAATCGGATGCTCCGTTCTCTCAAAAACTCGATTTCTATTTTCTGCACTCTTTGCTCCTTATCTCCGTAACTGCTGGACCTGCCTTTGCCAAAAACTAATCAGCACATCTCCTTATCAATAGGATCGAATGTTTTTTAAACCATTCAAATCGATTGATCCGTACGCCCGAAAACGTGGGCGAAAATTTGTATCCATACATACATACATACATACATACACACACACACACACATCCATTTTTTCTGAAGTATGCCAAAATGTTCAGAAACCTTCAAAACGTCGAGAAATGTAAAAATTTTCAATTCCGATTTTCGGCCCATTACAATAACTTACCCTACGAGAAGTTAACTAGTGGTTTATGGCGTCGTTCCTTAAAGAAAATTGCTAGAACTTCCCGTAATAAAAATTATTTTTTTTAAAAAAGATCGATTTTTATTTTAACTAAGAAAGATTAATTTTTATTTGAACTAAAAAAAAATAGATTTTTCACAAATCTCACAATTTTGAAAAAACTTGACTTCTTTGGAAAAAAAACTTAAAAAAAATGTTTTTTTACTTAGAAATATTTTGGAAATTTTGAACATCACTTCATTCAAAGCAATTGCACTGCTTTAGCTTCATAGAGATGAAACATCGAGGCGCGTAAGCGCCACGTTGCTGCCTAAGTTACAAACGATGTTATGGAACCAAAAAAAAAATTACACAAAATGTGTAAAAATTTTGAAAATCTCTGTAAAATATCTGATAAGTTGATGTGCATACGTCCAGTAAACATTTTGAGCTGCAAAATGCCATTTGTTTAACTTATTTTTATTGAGAGTCCATAACGGCTGGACCTGCTGATTTAGTTAAATTAGTAGTTAAATTTGATCCATAATTTCGATTTGGCTAATTTCCATAGTTAAAAACTACCTACCGTGATTTCCAACTAGTATCTTTAAAAAAAGAACACAGATCTGCAATTGTACGAAAAAAAATTAATTTATTTAATACAAGTAATTCTAATTCATTTACTAAAATGCTATTTTAATTTAGTGCAGACATCAACAATGATCAATACAAAACACATAATGTATATATACGCGGTGCTAGTCCTAAGGGCACGATCTTTATTTCAAAATTTAATAAACTTTGGCAATTAAACCACTATTCATAGGCCTCCCACATTATTGCAGAATGATCGTTTAAATCAAAACTTTAAAAAAATGTATCAACAAAAAGTTACAGAGAAACGTCCAAGTCTATCTTAAAACTAAAAAATAAATCTGTTGAAATCATAGGATCGAAAAAAAATAATTATTGCATAAAGAAATACATTAAACTACATTTAAAATTACATTTAAAAATATTACTACCAAAAGAATTTTTGTAGTTATAGTTATCTTTGATAAATAAATTTTACATTAGCAAATAAGATTTTTTGGTAAAAAAAAACTTTTTCATCAGCATTAAAAGAAAAACTATGGTCTGGATTCAACTAAATTAATGAGAAATTAAAAATGTTTAAAATTAAGTAATATAAATTATTTATATGAATTTACCATTATTTTGATATCTCATATTATTATTTCCACCTCGGCTGCCGCCGCTTTGATATCTGCTCCTAGAATTTCTATCATATGGTCCAGGCCTACTGGAAGCACCTGATCGGTTACTAGATCCGTAATTCATTTTATCCTGATAATGCCTGATATCATCTAAGCTGCTTCGGAACACTTCAATGTACCTAAAAAATATAAAGAACATGCAACAAAGTTATTAAAAAAAATTATTTTTAATTTTGTAATTTAACATCTGAAGGATTTGAGACATAAATTTAATCACAAATTATTTTTGGAAATATAATTTAATCAAAATCATTGTTTGAATAATACATCTATTTTATTTACCATGCAATTGAGATGATTGGAAAACAGTTACTTTTCAATTTTAAGAATTACTTTTCATGAAATTTATAATGACTTTGTAATTGTCATGTAAAAGATGGGAGGAATTCCGTTTGTTGACACAAGAAGTATTAAGAGATATGAGTAACGATCCAACTATCTTTCTAAGGTCCCAATTTTCAATATATAAGATGGCTGGATTGGACGTGTTGAAAGTTAGTTATAATGTTCTTTTGCACAAGTTTAGTGTTTAATAAATTTTATATAATTTGTTTCGTGTTTTTCTTGGTTTGGTGTGTATATAATTTTCTCCTTTTTATATTTAATATCAATTATTGTTATTTATGCAATGTTTTTTTTAGATTAGTGAATGATGACACACATTAAGTGTGCAAACGTTTTATAGAATAAAAAAATTTTCTATTTTAATCTTTTTTTAATTCCAGGATTGGGCTGCAAAATACTTCAAATATATATACACCTAAGTCTGTTTTTACACGGTAGATTGGTTCCAGAAGAAGCCGTGTAAAAAAAAAACGTGTAAAAAAGACATTGATCTTATACAAAAATGGGTGATTTGTTCCTAATCTCTAAAACCTATTAAAATTAGTGAAAAACAAGAATTTTTAAGATCAAGAATTCATGTTTATTTTATTAAATCAAATATATAATGCTTATTTTCACAAGCATAGTAATTAATGATAAAAAGGATATGCACTCTAATCTTAAAAGTAATATAAATTAAATGTATGGCAAGTTCAGGAACTAAAAAACTATGTTGTGAACGAAAAGAATAGGTTATTCAATTTTTAAGGTAAAAAATAAAATAAAATAGAATAAATGATAATCATAAATACAACAACATAAATTTAATTGCTGTCGTCATCAGTTATTCGCATTCTAGCCAGTAAATTTTATTTTGTGCACATAAAGGGAATTCCCCTAAATTAGTGCTATTCACATTTGCTTTGACCAGTAAAAATTATTTGTACGCGCTAAAGGGGAATTCACTTAAATCTTTAAGTTAGTGTTCGCAAACTATCGATACTATCGATGGTTTCAGACTTTTTTCTTTCATAAATACTTTTTTGTGATATGAACATACTTCGCAAAAATTAAATTTGACAAAAAAATTTAAGTACATAAAATTTCAAATCGTGCTAAATGGAATAAAATCGTGTAAAAAAATTAAAAATATTCAATTTTCAAACCGTGTTACATCAAAACCGTGTACAAAAAGACCGTGTAAAAACAGACTTATTATATATATATATATATATAAAAGATTTGAGTAATTTTTGAACACGGGATTTGTAAATTAACAAATACAAATATATTCTTCGTAACCTTGATGCATATTTAACGATTAAAAATACAGTAGACCCGCGGCAAAGTGACGAATATTTTATATGCCAATAAATGTAAGTTCTACTACCTCTATGCATTTAGATATGGTACAAATTTAGGCTTAAGTCTTCTATACTAATAATGTATGATTACTATTAATTAACAAATCTGGAACATCACACAAATCAAATATTTATGCACATATCGCTACCCGAAACTGAAATGTATGCTTTTATATATATAATGCTTTCTCATGCACCATCTTCCAAAAGTAAACAATCACACAAATAAGAATTAGATTAGCAATAATTAGAATAAACGAATTACCGTTGATCTACTGAACAAAATAACAAATATATATCAATTTCAATTCTTGAGAATTGTCCAACATAGTTTGAGCTCTTATAGAACAATCACCTATTTCAAACTATCACAAATCATAAGTGAACCCTTCCCACCTGTATTCAATCTTTTCACGATGTTTCTTTAAGGCTTCGTCCGCGTCTTCCATACTTGCAAATTGAACGAAAGCCTCCCCACTCGCACGCCCCGATCCTTCTTTCACCATTGTTATCCCATTTGGTATTATCTTCAAATCTAAATTATTACGATATAATACCACACATTTTTTTGTATAAAAGGAGAGAAACCCATTTCCAGCAATCCCATGTGAAGAGCCCAGAGATATCCCAGTGCATCCCACGATGAAAGGCCACCACAATCCCAAGTACAAACCCAATGTACCACACGCAGACGAAATATGCAAAAACACATAAAAAATAAATTCACTATAGGATTATAAACCACAAATATTACTTGAAGGCCAAACCTTTTTGTAAAGATCCCTTTTTATACTAACAACAGGGATAAGCATGATAGGAGACTTATCTAATAAAATGATTAAATTAGACCCTTAATTTTAACGCATGTTTTCAATTTAGATTTCATTTGTAATCACTAGTTACTAAAGCCAATGTTAAATCAATCATTACATGACTAACTGCTAAGTGACCAACATTTTGATACAAATATTTAATATAATTTTAAAAATATTTGTAGATCTTTTTCACTCGACAAATTACAAATAACTACATTAATGTAGTATGCTAATGACAAGTATCTTAACTAACCTTGTTTAACAATATTCAATTATACAACTAAATTTTAAAAATTGTGTTTGTTTGCTCATTGATTCAATTTTTTAACCGGCATTCAAATCAATATTCAATCATTCAAATTACAATTTATGTCACATAAATCGGCATGTAACACAAAATTTTCTGCACCTAATTAACTAGTTATTAATTTGATTTCTTATGCAATACCTTTACTTTACGTCAAAAAAGCTAAGAAGGAAAGATATATATTTTTTTCAAAGTGTTTACTAACTGATTACATTAGAAATTATATTAAATTGAATATTACCTTTGAAGAAGTTTATAATATCGTCTTTGGTGCTGTGGAATGGCAATCCTCTCAGTTTTACACACGCATCACGTTCAGTGAATTGACTTTGAATTGCATATTCAAATTGTGATGGCCGGGAACGGAAAACTGTAACAATATATTATATAATAGAATTAGATTGTTAGAATAATATACAAAAATAGTATAGGTATATATAGTATAAATAGTAAAAAATCATTAAGTTCAAGTTCCATATTGGAAAATAGATGAATTAATAAAAGTAGTTTATTTAAATGTTAAAGCTAATATAAAAAATGTTTTATGATATATTTTTCTTAAACATTGCTAACTACAGTTGATCAAATTTCAAGATATTAAAGAAAAATTAATAAGAATAGTTAATATGAATAATAAAATAAATATATATTGTTAAAATTAAAGATATACTTCATATATAAGACATAAAACTATGATAACTTGAAAATAATTGATGAAAAGACTTTAAAGGTAAATAATAAATAAGAAGATAAATATTTTAAATCTAATTATAATTCTATGTCAAGACATTGATAATAAATTGATAAAAGTGGTTGAGAGAAATGTAAAAATTAAAATATGTAACAAATACTACATTTATGAGTATGTAAAACTATGATAACTTGAAAATAATTTATGAAAAGACTTATATGATATAATAAATAAGAGAATATTTTTTTAAATGTTCAAAGCATTGCAAAATATCTGGAGCAAATGAGCTCGAATTTAGATTAAGTGTGTCATGACTTTTAATACATCAACAAAAAAGTGTACAAAAAATATTGATGTCTAATAAAGTCATTGTTGAATCAAAAAGTATTGAATTTTAATTAAATACACTTAATTATCAAACTAAAATAACTGGAAATATTAATACAAGCGTTCCAAATCACAATCGTGAATTAAAAGAAAGGAGATTTATGGAAAAGCTATCCAGTATTAATAATCAATTTATAATTCTGTAACAAAATATTAATAAATTGATAGAAGTGGTTTATAGATATGTAAAAAAGAAAATTTGTGACAAATACTACATTTATGAGATATAAAACACTGATAACTTATAATAAAAACATTAAAATCTGAATAAAATTTAATATACAGATGGATAAATATAGGTTTTAATGTGTTCAATACAAAACAAATTAGAATTGCTTTTTAAGAGATTGAAGATAAATTAATAATAGTTGTTTATAGTTATGTAAAAATGAAAATGAGATGTAAATGTAGATGTACTTCATTTATCTAAGTTATCACAACTTGGAAAAAAAAATTAAAAAAAAAATGGACAATACTTCTATAATGGAGACTTATTTCAGAATTGCACTTTTAGTGATATATAATAAATTATTCATTATATTTAATAGTTAGAAGCAGTGAAAATACCTTCTATATATCGGCTCCCCATATGGCACCTGTCCTTCTTCAGCGCCTTTTCTAAATCATTTGCAGAAGCAAATTCAACAAAAGCTTCCCCGGATGGTCTATTATCCTTGGACATAATAATATGAACGCCATCCCGTTCATTTACAACCTCACAATCATCAAAGAACTTCAAAATTTCATTCTGAGTGGCTCCCCAAGGCAGCCCACGTAACTTGGCAATATATTCTCCTGGTTTAAAAAGAAAGCTGGTATAAATTGTTTTCATGAAACTGCTAATTTAACTAACCTGGTTTGTGACCCGAAAATCCATTTTTACTATCATTTTGATCGTCGTCCCGGGAATAATCATTAAGATTAACTTTTCTATCGTTTTCAAAATCATCCAGAACCCTATCTTCTGCAAAATCGTCGTGGCCGGACATTCTGGAAAAAGGTAAAAAGTAAGTGAAATTGAGGAAAGGTCAAAAACAATTGGATCACTTTGTTATGGGTTTACTTTGATTACTTTTTGTAATTTGGACGCCGAAATCCAGAAATCAATATTTAGCTAACAACTGACTGCAGACACAACGCATAGAAAGTTTACTGAATGTTGCCAGATGCGATAAGAAACTTATTACTTCGGGTTGCCTCTGGATTTGTTTTGTAGGCTGGCAATACTTTTTCAAAATGGCGGTAGAAAGTGGTGTCAAATCAGTTACAAGAATAATTCAAATTAAAATAAACGATTGCGATGGCGAATTTGCATTGTTTAAAGCATATTGGTTTAACAATAAACTTGAATATGTATTTTTTAATTGATTTAAAGTCAGTGTCAGTGCTAAGTGTTATTAAAAAAATGTTTTCGTTATACTGTTATGTCTTGTCAAACTTGTTCAAACAAATTTTGAAATCAAACTTGTGAATGTACATTAATTTTTAATAATGGCTAATGCGTTTGTAGGTATGTATTAAGTTGTATTATTTATTTTTAACTTTCTTTCTTTCTTTTTTTTTTTTGATTAGCCTTATTTTTATTATACATATATAATTATAATTTCTGTCTGCTTGTCTCTATTGCTTCTGCAGTTTTCATCTTCAACTTGGTCTTTGTATAATTAATAGAAGATCGGATGACTTTTATTCTGTGTTGGGCAAATAATATCATATATAATAATATTATTTGCAATTAGTTACAAGTGTAATTTGTTTTATTCTGCCTGTTATATTTGATGTAATACTTACCCACACGACAATTTGAATTATAAGTTTTATTTCTACATGATGTTGCTCTATGTTCATAAGAGGCATGACTTTTAAAATATCTTTAATATATTCAGGTCTTTAAAAATATGAGACATTTTTTATTCCAAATGTATGTTATTTTCTATGAGCTTTGAATAAGGTTTTCCTAAATGTTTTTATTTATATCTGATGGTTTTTACTTGGTGTTTATAACATGGGTAAATAATATTATTTGTTTTACGAGTAATATTTTGTAATTTGTTTCATTTCTGCCTGTTATTATTTGACATGATGCTCTCCCACATGACAATTTGAATAATAAGTCTTATTTTTACATTCTGTTGCTTTAAAAATATGAGACATTTTTGATCCCATTTGTTTGTTGTTGTATGTTATTTTATACGGGCTTTGAATAGGTTTCCCTGCATGTTTTTAAATATATCTGGATGGTTTTTAAACTTGGTGTTAACAACATGGGCGAATAATATCATTTGCCTTATGAATAATTTTGTAATTTTTATATTTTTTTATTTCTGCCTAAAATTCTTCGATGTGATGCTTCCACATAAAAAATTTGAGCTTAAATTTTATTTCTACATTCCATGTCCATAGGCCTGACACTTAAAATATCTTAATATATTTAGGTCTTCAAAAATATGAGAGTCATTGCATTCCAGATATATATTATATACTAACACATTATTTAATATTTTATTTAAATTATATTATATTTTAAAAAATGAAAAACGCCAACTATCTCTTACAATGCTTGACACAGTACTAAACATGTGAATATATAAAGAAATATTTGAAAACAAATCTTAAGTGTCGAAGATGAAGGGACAAGGATGGATATTATTATAATGTAAAGGTTCCTTGTTCCTTCAGATTTGACACTTAAATTTTTTTATAATTTTAAATTATAAACACTGTCTTTTAATTAAGCTTTTTTTTTAACTTTGCTAACGAAAGTTTTGGTATTCCTATAGAGAGAATACTTCAACAAGATGTTTTATATATTCATATTCTTTTGATAAAAATGATGATTTATCTTTGATTTTTAGAGTCAATAATTTTCTTTATCCTTTTATTTCTTAATCACAACACCGTCATTCATTTAATTTATATTTATTTCATTTCCTATAATCACTAGATTTTTTATACATAAAGCATCAATAGATCTTAATATAAAAGCATTAAAATCTTTCAATGACTGGGGGCTGGGGTTGGTTTTCCATACTGCTTTTCATAGAATTCAATGTATTCCTTCTTCATTTGTTCACGTTTTTCAAAATATTTGGGATATTGAGCTTTTTCCAATGGATGCCAGTAATCCATAACCCAGTCTGGGGGAATAACATCACGCCCGTAGGCTACTCCGCCAGGGCTTGAGGCAACTAGAGAAATAATATTATAATAATAAAATAAGCAACCAACTGTTTAAACTATAAGCTTGTAAAAACGTATTTATATGATTCTACATGTGAATGTTAATGATGTTTAATAAAAATATTGGTTTTTGATAAAAATTTTACCTTTAACATTACTCGATTTAAAATATTATATTTATACAGGGTATCCCAGAACTCAACATCAACCTCAGACAGGATTGATTGTAACCATCATGAGAGGAATCAGAAAAAAATAAATACGCAATCCAGTTTGAAAATTATGGAAATTTACAAAAAATCTAGAAATTGCTGGTCAAAAAGCTGAGAAAGCAAAATGATAAGAGATAATATTGGACATGAGCGAGCAAATATTAATAATAATGTTACTCAATAAAGAAGGTTAGCAAAAATCAGGTAACTTTAGATTTTAATTTTTTTCACTAAGTTTTTACAGAAACTAATAAGTAATTTTATCATTATACAACCCTGATTAAATATGCAAACTCTTAATAACACTTGCCAAAGCACTTAAGCACATATTTTTTAAAGGAGGCCCTATTAAAGAGGTCAAATTTTGAAAATTGTATATTCATAGTAAACAAATATATTCAATTCTAGTAAATTTGGGAAAATTAAATCTTTATTTTTGTGATCGTGGTTCTAGAAAAATTATTTAAGGTTACAGTTCCAAAGTTTTAATAAACAAAAACAAAAATTGACCACAATAACTGAAAAATGGTAGCGGTTTGAATAGATTTATTGTTTCATTATGGTTGCAACTCGATTGGGATCTTAAATTGACTTCTGGTTCACCTTGTATATTTATACCAATAATAAAAATTTAAAATTTGTTTACTATTTTTGTTAGTTTACTTACATTGTCTTGGCTGGTAGTGCATGTTCTGAAATAATTCTTCTTCGCCTTCTGCCAAAAGTTTTTGGGCAACTCTGGGGTCCTTTTCATCCTTATTTAAATCAAATCTGTGTCTTAAAAGTGTAGCTTCATAACGAAAGATATCCCTGGAAACAAAATTGTTAACACAAGGTCTATTTTTATTTAATATTCCTTCTAACCTCTGCCATCGCCAGTTTTCCAAATTACGTAAAGCCCTTTTATAAAGGCTGCAGACTTTTTTTGCGTGGGTGCTCATATTTAGGTTTAGATCTGAAAAATCATTACAGATTGAAAAATATGGATAATTAAATTTTGCACGAAGCAAAATTAGAACTTTGACGTTTTGACGTAATAGGTTATGTAGTGTAGAAGTGTTGCCAGAGCTCATTCGTTTTTTATATAATAAGATTCAAGTTCTGTTCCAATAAGAATAATGCTAGATGTAAGTGGCATCGTGCCTTAAGGCAAATTGCTAGCACTTCCCGTACCAAAAATTAAAATTAAAAAAAAAAAAGATTAAATATGTTTTAAACTTTGACAAAATTAGATCTTTGAGAAATTTTAAATTTTTGAAAAAAAAAATACTTTTTTGGAAAAAACACTTTTGGAAATAATGTGTTTTTTTAGTTGGAAATTTTGAACTTTTTTTTAAAGCAATCGTATTGCTTAACTGCATAGAGACGAAATATCGAAGCGCGTAAGCGCCACGTCCGCCATCTAACGGACAAGCACGTCTTTAAATTCAATCAGTTCTTCTCCTTGTCAATATAAGTAAAATGTTTTTTGAATTATTAAAATCAAACGCTCCTCTCTCTTAAAAACCGAGTTATCGTTTTTGGCACTTTTTGCCCCGTATCTTCGGAACGGCTAGACCTGCCTTTGCCAAAAAGTAATCAGCACGTCTCCTTATAAACAGCGATCGAATATTTTTTGAATCATTCAAATCGGTTAAACCGTGTTCCCGAAATCGTCCACGAAAATTTGTATCCGCACACACACACACGCACACCACATACATTCAGAAACCTTTGAAACTTAAAGATATATAAAAAAAATTATAACTTATGCCCCATGGGAAGTTAATAATTAACTATAGGTGTAAGTGACATTTTTCCTTAAGGTAAATTACATAAACAAATTCAGATAATTAAGTTAAATCTTCAACTGTTATTTCGAAATCAAAAATTTAAATAAAACAATTTTTTTTCCAAAAGCAATCGTGCTTTGTCAACACAAGGAGAAAGTATTTGAATCATTCAAATCGGATGCTTAGTTCTCTCAAAAACTGCCATTTTTTGCACATTCAGCCCTATATTTCCGAAACGGCTGGACCTGCCTCTGCCAAAATCTGATCACTACTTTTCCTCGTCATTACGAAATTGTTTCGATAATTCAAATCGGATACTCCGTTCTCTCAAAAACTCGATTTCTATTTTCTGCACTCTTTGCTCAGTATCTCTGAAACGGCTGGACCTGCCCTAGCCAAAAACTAATCAGCACATCTCCCTATCAATATGAATCGAATGTTTTTTGAACTAATCAAATCGGTTGACCGCGCGCTCGAAATCGTCGACAAAAAAATTGTTTCCTCACACACATCTATTTTTTCTGAGGTATGCCAAAATGTTCAGAAACCTCTGAAACGTGAAGATATACGAAAATTTTCATTTTCGATTTTTTGCGATTACAATAACTTACCCTACGGGAAGTTAATAAAGAGAATTGGTCCTGAAATTCAAAAAAATATTAGGGGTGGACAACCCTTAATAAAATAAATTGTTATTTAAAGTGAGATTTGAGCAATTTCTTCAAGCTCAGAAATCAGAACTAAATATTATATATATATATATATATATATATATATATATAAATATATATATATATATATTCTAAATAACTCATAGTATAATTATATATTTCATTTATTCATATAATTACATATATCATTTCATTGTATATTTATATATAAAAGCGTTTCAAATATTCTTAATTCTAAAATACTTATCAAAAGCAAATTTAATATAAAACTAATATCATTTATCTCAATTATAACAAAATAATTCATTTTCTCAAAAACATTTAAAATCTTAATCCATTTTATTTATTTATCCTTAACTAGGGCTACTGGTAAAATCCTTTATAAATAAATTTATAGCAGCTTTCATATCCCAAGAGGCACTTATTAAATATTTCTCACAAACGTATTCAGATTTTTCGGTTATGTTCGACAGCATCTTGCACATATCTTTTTTCTCTTCACTATTTAGTTCTCCAAATAACTTGTTGTATTCAGACAACCTTGCAGGAACTGTTTTGGTAAAACCTTTGGGGTAATTTGTAACAGAATTAGTGATTGCTAATAGTTCATTGAAAATTTTGAATTTATTGTGACCGCAGTGAATTATTCGAAATGTCCTAGAAAAGTTATAAAATGTATCAGGATTATTTGAGAAAACCCTGAACATCCCGGTGACCATGATAGTTGTGCTATATGCATCGTGTTGGACGATATCTATTAAATGTATAAGGGTCATGCTGGGTTTTAGGAAGCGTATCCAGAAATTTGATTATGTTTTCTGCTCCTTTGTGCAATTGATCTTGTCCTCTAGTTATATCAGATAAGCGTAAAATATTGCGACTGGCAGAGGAAAATACTTTGGAAGGACTTGAACCGGTTAGCATTGTTGGTGTAGGGATGAACTTAATGAGAATAGTGCATTTGCGTCATATAAATCCACTAGATCCTTTCTACAAATATCAAAAACTGTAAAGTAATGTTCCATAAATTGATCTACTAATTGTGCAGCTTCATTGTCACATACAAAGTTTCTCCTGGACTGGGGCAAACCAGTTTTGAGCAAAGTTCCATCTAATTTTACAAGGTTATTACAATAGGATTTAGCGTCTTTGATATAACTAGCTTCAT